TCCCCGTGTCCCGCGCTGCTCCTTTCGTTGTTCCCCAAAAGCCCCTGCAAAGGGAGCGGAGGGGCAGAAAACCCAACGCGTCTCCCACCTTCCCATCCACCTCCCCATCCTTCCCGGAGCTGGGGGAGGCTTTCCCGCTTTTCCTTGTTATCCCAACACGAAGCAAAGGCTCCGAGGTGGCAGCCTGGGCCGACACGGGGGCTTCTGCGGGCAAAAAACCCTATGGACGGTTTGACAGCGGGGCGAGTGCAGGGGGTTTTGCAGATGGGACGGAGGGAAATGCATCTGGAATTGTATTCCCGCAAGGAAGGGCAAGGCAGCCCCTTATCCGGCCAGCTGCGCTGATGGAAGCAGAGCTTTCCGCTTCCAGCCGGAGCTTCCTTGCGGGGGGCTCCAGCTAAAAGCAAAGGCCCGACGGTGCCCGGGCTCCGTAGCCCTCCTCGTGCCCTGCTCCCTGCTCACGTCCTTTGGTGCCTTCCTCCCTGCAGAAGGAGGAGGAGGAGGAATTCGCGCGCAACTTGGCTTTGCAGCAGCAGCTGGAAGAGGAGAGGAACCGGGTCGCGCTCATGAAGCAGCAGCAGGCGGAGCAGGAGCAGTTCCACGCCTTCGAGGAGATGATCCGGCGCCAGGAGCTGGAGAAGGAGCGCCTGCGGATCGTGCAGGAATTCGGCAAGCCGGAGCCGAGTCCCCAGTCTCTGGAAGGGCCCCTCATTCCCGGCGTGGAAAAGCCCCCGACCGATGCAATCCCCAAGGTTCCCGTCTCTCCGGCGGAGCCCGCCAGCCCCTCGGCGGGAATTGTGTCTCCCAAACCTCCGGCCGTGGACAGATCCCTGAAACCGAGCGCCTTGGGGAGCCCGGAAAACAGTGAGTCCCTCCCAGCCCAGCCGGTCCCGAGGAGCTGAGTTGCCTGGGAGGCTCCAAGCATCCGGTCACAGCTCCATTCCCTCCAGGGATTTGCTCTTCCAAGTCCCTGGATGTTCTGTGGGCCGGAAAGATTTGGGAACTGGCTCCTTTAGGGAATCGGGCTCCTACACGGCTCGATGTGACTCGTTTTGAGACGGGGCCTTAGTTCCTGCCAGGCTGCCTGAATCCCCCTCGGAACAGTAATTCCTGCCTGAATCCCCCTCAAAACGCTAATTCCAACCTTTCCAAATTGCTGCTTCGTGACCAGTGACACATTTTACCTTCAGTGACGCTTTGTAAGCGGTCGCATTTCCATTTTCTTTGGTAAAATGCTGTTTTTTGGCACACTCTTCCCCTGGCTGGAGAAGGCAGTGCCATAAGTGACTTCATAAAGTGCCACAGTGACCTCAGGAGGGCCTGAATGGGGTTCCAAGGGTAGCCAGGAGAACAGGCAATATTCCCAGGCTGTTTTTTCCCAATCCTGCCCCTCCAGGGAATGCCCCGCGGGAGGTTCCCTCCCGCCGCGGCGCTCCCGGTGCTCCCGGTGTCCCCGCAGGTGCCAGGATGGATGCTCTGCGCCAGGTCGTCGTCCCCAGGGAGCTCTGCCAGAAATTCCTGCAGCTGGCGGATGCCAACACGGCGCGCGGCGTGGAGACGTGCGGGATCCTCTGCGGGAAGCTGGTAACGCCAATCCCAACGGAACACCCGGGGGGCTCGGGAAAAGGCCGCTCCGGGAACGCTCGCGCGGGATGCGGATCCCGCCGGGGTGACGTCCCCCACGTGCTGCCCCGCAGATGAGGAACGAGTTCACGGTGACGCACGTCATCGTCCCCAAGCAGCACGGCGGCCCCGACTACTGCAACACGGAGAGCGAGGAGGAGCTCTTCCTCATCCAGGACCAGCACGGCCTCGTGACCCTCGGCTGGATCCACGTGAGCCCTTCCTTCCCGTTCCCCTCGGGATGCAGGGGAAGGCGGAGGTGGGATGGAGCGGGGAGCATCCCTGCGGAGCCAGCGCAGGGAGATCCCGCCTTGTTCTCAGCTCACATCCCTTTCCCAACGCGTCGCTCCTCTTGGAAGCAGGATA